TGGTAATCAACAACGCATTCAGATTTGGCGTCCCTTACTCCGTCATATGCAGGCTCATACATCAATATAGTTTCAGACAGTTGGTTAGAATACAGTTTTATTCAGATCATTGGCTATTATAAAATCCCCAACAGGATTCTGAAGACCCTTTTTATTACAATACATAATCAGTATTAGTTTGGTATGCTTTACTGATCAACTGAAAATCCTGGAGAAAAGCCAAGTGTTATAGGGATTTTTCATGCGGTTTTAACATTCACTACAAAATATAATCAATAATAACTGTGATCCTAAATGCAAAATATCCTACTCGACACCCACGAACACACTTTCCTCACATGAGTATTGTGTGGAGTCTGTGGCGCAGTGCATTAGTGCGCTGATCTTCGGATCAGGGGGTCACAGGTTCGATTCCCCACTGCAGTCAGCATGCCGTTGTGTCAAGTAACATGTAATGGAGGTTAAGAAGGTGATGTCAGTTAAGACCATTTGACTTTCACCGATACCCACCTCCTAAAGCAAATCAGCTGAGAGAACAACTTCTGCCCAGAGTCTGGCCTCGGTTACATCTCAGCCAACACATTATTTTAAATTGTAAAAGTCCTATTTTTACGTCATGGGTTTTATAATATATCAAATATCTCATACATTTATTTCCTATTTTCTCAGCCTGCAGTAACGCCGCCTGTATCGCAGCCAGGAGGAAACCACAGCCCAGCACAGCAGAGCCCCGCAGCCCCCCCGGAGCAGACCAGGAAAGCTGGGCACAACTTCAAGTGTCTGTGGCAGTCCTGTAAACGGTGCGCGTCTCAGACATCCAATCAGATTTCTCCTCGTCTAAATGGAGCTTTTTGCTGATAACTTCTGCTTTCTTCTCCAGGTGGTTTGAAACGCCGTCTCAGGTGTTTTACCACGCAGCGACGCAGCATGGTGGGAAAGGCGTGTATGGAGGCCATTGTCAGTGGGAGGGGTGTGAACCCTTTCCCCGGCAGAGACTGTCCCTGATCACACATCTACAGGTAACACTCCATCCGCTTTCCCCGGATTGTAGCCGCGGATGTTTGCTTAGCGCTTTTGCTATTGCACTCTTTATTGTACCATTACCATGTCATAAAATCCTAAAACAAGATGTTTATTTTCCTGCTCTTTCTTTTTCCAGGATAAGCATTGTTCTCGAGAGGCTTTACTGGCTGGACTCAAACTAGAGGAGCAGCAGGCACAAAGTCCCAATCAGTCTACTTCCCAGTGCGTACACATTTCATTATTAATCTCCACACAACATTGATGCCTAACAAAACACTGTATTCTTGTTTTGGTCATTTTCATAAGCGTGGGGACTGGTTTGTAGAAGGGAATTGGCACAGAAATGCTGCATTACAATTTCGGTGTTTGACTGTTGTCTGTGCTTGATGCATTGTGAAGGACTCCGCCAGCGGCAGGCAGTACTCCGACACCGCGACCACCGAAGGCCATCGTGAATCATCCAAGCGCAGCTCTCATGGCTCTTCGTAGAGGCTCTCGAAACCTGGTCTTCAGGGACTTCACTGTGAGTAAAACAAGCTGACCTATTCTTCAAAGTCACTCTTGTATGAAAGCTCCTAGTTGGCCATGGTGGACGTTATTACCTTTCCTGATCATCCTAATTCTTGAATATTTTCTGTTTGTTTCCTCTCCTAGGATGAGAAAGAGGGACCAGTGACCAAACACATCCGACTAACTGCTGCCTTAACGTTAAAGAACATCGCCAAGCACTCTGACGGCGGTCGCATGTAAGTGTAGCGTGGAGTGAGACTGCTGTTTGTTCCTTTCGTACAGTTGTCTATAGCAAATCTATATCCTGATTTGGTTTGATGAAGATTCAGATATGGCAGTTTTAGTGCTTTCAAATGTTAGACATTTCTTGTAAAAATTACTTGTGGAACCACCAAAAGTACACTTTATTTTCCATGTGTAGAAACCTTGTAAGTTCTGTAAGCCACAGGACATGACTGCTTCCAATTCATAAGAATAAGTCGCCTAGCAACTAGGGAAGCAAAAGCAATAGCATTCAAGTAATGTCTGGAGAGGAGAGTGTCTGGAGCCATTTCAAAAAAAGGAGAAGGCGCACATTGCACCTTTTTTCAATGTTCCACAAATTGTGTCAGAGGTGATTTATCCATGTGTTAGTGTTATTCTGGATTGCATTGTATTGATAGAGGAGTTTTTTGATCACTTCTTGTAGAGTTTTTTTTGTGGAATGTAGCAAAACAATCTTAACTTTGTGTTTCCTCTCCTTGTCTCTCAGGTTGGTAAAGAGGCATGAGACGCACCTCTCCGTGCTCGCGCTAAGTAACATGGAGGTTTCCACCACGCTCGCCAAATGCCTTTATGAACTGACGCGCGCTCTCCAGGCTTAACGCCAAAAGGACAAGCTCAACAACCCCCCCACAAACCTCTCCTCCTCCGGAGCCCAGAGGAGGAAACCACCAGTGAGCCGTAGCGGGTCTGCAGGGGGAGCGGAGGGCAGGAACCCGGAACAACAACAACAACAACAACCCTCTTGCCAACCCCCTCTCATCCCTAACCTCCTTCCTGCCCCATCCACACACACTCACAAATATAAACTGCCACGGGGTCTTCCACCAGCTGCCCATCAGGGGGGGCTCTTTAAGACTGCTTCCCTGAGGGACTCTACCGACGAAACCCTAAAATACGAGCACATTTTCCTTACGTTTTTTTGTTAATTTTATTTTCCTCTTGGTCTCGTGAACTAATGTGTGCGTTGGAATGAGTGGCGGTCGACTGAAGAGGACGGATTGGAGCGGAGGGGGCGGGGCTAATGTAGGACTCTCACCGATTGGTTGGAGGAGGACTAAGCTGGCAACCGGCGCAGATTTAGAAAAAAAAATCTTTAGGAACTTGGTAGCTTGGTTTTCTTACTTGAGTCAATATATTTTCACTTATTTATTATTGAAATGAATACCATTACAATTAATGAAAAAGAATCTTGTAAATATGTTGTGAATATATATAAAGAAGATCCTCTTTGATGCCGATGCAGCCACTGGAGAACTTGCTCTGTGGAGTAATAGAAGCATTACTTTGGTAGAATTGAATAAAGTAGTATGTTTTTTGTTTGTTTTGCTTTTTTTATGATCCCTGGTCACTTGTATCTAATGTGATTCTATACTCAGCAGTGGATGAATGTACTTAAAAACCTGTAAATAATTCTGCAAAGGTACTGATGCTGTAAAGCTTAGGGAGGGGATAAAAACAGTTATTTGTGGAACTGTGACATTTTTTGTATAATAATACCTTGTAGAACTCATTTTGCTGGCTGAAAGAGTATGGAATAATATATCTCATGTCATTTTGTAGAAGAAAAAAAAATATTGAAGGTATTCTCTTCCCTTCCTCTTCCCTCACAAGCTCCCCCCCGCCCCCCCACCCACACGCACACACACACGTAACATTTATCCACTGTAAGCATTTTGTCATTGTACGGGCACAGTGCGCGTACCAAAATTGTTTTGTATTTGTAAATTGGTTTAAATACATGGAGTTTTTATACAGGTTTTCTCCTGTGTTCTTTGCTTTACGTGCAGGTATGATATTTTCTTCACTACTTTTTTCTATCTTAATATAGTGTGGAGTTTTATTGTACTATTTTTTCATTCTTAATACCATGCCACATTCCGGCTCACGTCCTCAGACTGTCCTCTTTACCGTGTGTTGTGTAACATTTCTGACTGCCTGTCGTATTAGCATCTGACCGGGGCGATCCCACCATCCTCATTTCTGCGGTGTCGGTAGGATGTGTGACTATACATAGACCTAACAGTCTGTTAGAGATTGGCTTTATTTACTTTGGTGACTGTTTATAGTTTTTAAATAAAACACTGAACATTTTGCTCTGGTTTTATGCTTGTTTTTGTGTCTCCTGCAATTTGTCCCACTTTCTCTAACCAGGGGAAATAGCTCTTGATCCATTTTATGAGGAGAGAGGATTGCAGCCTTTTTAGAAGATTTCATGGAAACATATTCTGTTCTGTTGCTGAATGATGGAAGGCCAACAAGATTTCAGGTTGGTAATGAGTTTATCATGCATAGTTTTGCATTGCAGAGTTCGCTATGTGTGGGGAATGGTTTCAGACTGCACAGTAATAGTTATGTGCGTAGAGAGAAGGGGATAGAAAAGCTTGAGAATGTAGAATATAAACTTGAAGTAAACACTGATAGTAGTGATGGGATTAAGCTATTCTTTTCACTAAGAGACACATAGTGCAATAAGGAGGGGGTAATACTGCCCCTTGGAGGGATGACCTGGAATATAAAATAGGTAAGCATATGGAAGATGCATTGGAGATCTTGGCTCTTATATAAATAATTTGTTCAATGACTGAATTAAATAATTCAAAAAGATTAATGTATATGATGCAGGCATTCGGGGCACTACATTGAATTGGAGGATAGTAAACACCAATAACATTAGTTATGGCCCCTTTTTGTTCAAAAGTTCCATTAAGTGACACCAGCACCTAAAGCCAAAGCGCTAAATGGAATTTGGCTATAGTGTATTTATAATTTTGTACACAAGGGCTTTTCTTATGTGACATATCTATGTTGTCCCCCATGAAAAAGGCCTTTTAATGCATTTATTTCCTTCACCAATGTATATGTTTTTCTTTGGGTTAAAGGAAAGAGCTAAACAAACCTTATGATGTATTTGGAATGCCATGTGATCAAATGGAACACAATTTAATAAAAAATAAAAGGCAAAACGTTAATTTAACTAGTTGGATCATTATGCAAAAATACATGTAGTTGAACCTCTAAAAAGGTACTGCAACATATAGTGTTTGAATTGAAATAACGTTCACTACTCCATTATGTCCATGTAGTAGGCAGCTGTTCCACCTGTTGCTGCCAGTCTATGGTCGCAGCACTTGCCCTGTAATAAATCAAATCCACTCTTCGGTGTAATGCTCGGCGGCTCCGCTGGGGGGCGCCAGCGGCTCCAACTCTCAGCCCCACAGACCGCGAGACATGTGGCTGAGACTTTCTGAATGCTACGCTCCGTTTTTAGCCAAAACAATCACCGAATAGTGCTATTCGTCAGCATTTCATTGCAGGTGCTTGGAAAACCAGTTTACCAGGTGCACGTCAGCTTCAGCAACACTTAAAGGTAAGTAACGAGACTTACCGCTAGCTAACTGGAGCTAACTGCTAGCAAGCTAAAAGCGACGCAAGAAGGTGCTGTTGTTCAAACCAGCTAGATAGCTCTGAGCTACATTGAGAGCTAGCTAGCTAACTTGTGACCTTCAGTGCAATAGCTGTGACTAATATTATAAAGTATTTGCTGCAGTGATAACAACAACAACACGCTAGCTCTTGCGTGGCTGTGTTTTTAGCTAGCTATAGCTGTCTAGCTAACCAACAACAATCATGTTGTCATCGTCGTGTTGGCACTGGTTGATCAAGTTGGGCTAATTTTGTGTCTCCTGCAGCCAGGCCGTGCTGGCGCCGAACGCCAACAAGCTTCAATAACTATCTGCCCGCTAGCCTCATCTATCATATAATGTAATGTGCATTTACAGAATAATGTTATGTGGCGTTGGGCTTTTGTTTGAGAATTTCAGGTGTACTAGTTATTCTGTAGATGGAAACATTATAGTGACAGTTTTAGCACAAGGCTAGTGACTAATCGCCTGTGTTTGGAAATGAAACCGTGGGTATGAGTCTGTTGAACAAGTTTCACATTTGAAGATCTACATAATGAAATTGATGAAGCAAAGAATGGTTCCAGATCATATATCATTCTCAGTTTAAGTCTCAAGTTAAGGCTAGAAGTCAGCTGGATATATGTTTGTTCACCAAGACTCTGGAGGTAAATAACATTCAGGTTGAAAACAAAACTGGAAGTAGTAATCAGAGTTGATCACTCACACTTGATCACAAATCTGGTTAGTAGCTCTGTGGTTTTAGGCCACTTACTAAGAGTAAGTGAGTCAGACTATAAATAATTTCAAATGTTTCAAGTTCACTCAATTATATCATCCCTACATATGGATTTTTAAATTATGAGTAGTAATATTCTCAAACATTGAGCAAAATACATTTTAGAAACTACCCATTCCATAATTTTTCCAATAAAAAGTGAACAAAATATATTGATTGTTTTGCCAACTTAAATTGTTATAACTTCAAATTAGGGGATCCTTTTCAATTATGCTTTAAATGAGTCTGCAAATTAGTCCAAAAAAAGCAAATGTGCTTTGAGCAGAAGACATCAATTTGTTGATTATTGCTGATTAATTAAGTAATCACCATTTAAACCACAAGTGTCATTTCCAAAGGAGATGGCAATGTGGCTTTATTTCTGGAGAGAGAAAAGTCCACGCTTTTCCTTGTGGATGTCCAGTCAGTGCAAGCAGTACATTCTTCAGTCTGTGTTATATTGACAGAGAAAGCGGAATCTCACTCTTACGCAGCCGACAGGTCCATGTACCAGGATGCATTGGGAGCGAGCTTCAGACGCCCAGGGTCCCTGCCTGCTGTTTCCTCTTCAGCCTCAGCCTCTCTCCTCTGTATTTCTTTGGCCGTGGACTTTTGCTTGGACACATATGGCTGAATATCCGAGTCAGCACAAATGCTTTAAAATGTTTCCTGGTCCACCACATCCTTTGCATCTCGGGATACCATTTTTGCAATTAAAACAAGTGAAAAGTACAGAAAAAATATCTTCCTAGCATCATTTAGAGCAGGGTTGTCCTAACCTTTTTCACCGAGGGCCACATACAGAAAAATATATACGAAGGGCTGGGCCGCTCACTAGAGGTATATTGCCTCATCTAAGTTAGAAAAATCAATCAAATTTAGGTAAATTATGGTTAATATTGATGAAAAAAACACACAGCTCTCCGTAGGGTTTCATTTATTGTGTTGGCAGCTCATTCCTTAAAACAGGAGGCTCGGATTACTTATAGTAAGAGGAAATATTAAGGGTATATTTCAAGGTTGTTATGTAAATGTCTTATTGGGCTTTTTTCTTATCAACTAAGATGAGTTAGACCTTTTTTTCAACTTTAATTGACTGAATTTATTGAAAAATGTGGCTTATTAACACATGAATACTGTGTTATATATTTAAGAACTACAATAGTAGATGTTTCATTTGTAGGCCATATTTCATTATACTTTTTGAATTTGCTGAGGGCCGATTAAAAATGGGCCGCATTTGGCCCCCGGGCTGTAGTTTGGACACCCCTGAGTTAGAGGCACCCAGACGTTTAGACCAGAAATCCAAGCTTAAGCAGTTTATAGTTCTTCCTAGCATACAACTACGTCACCCAGAATGACAGTGCTGAATGCTGTACCTGCTCAATCAATACAGCGCACTGAGGGATGTATTGCTTCTACCGACTGCATTTACTATCATGACTGATTTCAGAGGCTGAGCTAAACACAAACATGCAGGAAACAAGCAATCACTATCCTGGTACCAAGGATGAAATGCATCAATCAGGTGCATCTTGAGAGCAAAATAAATATGTTAAATCTGTAATATTTGAGGCCTCTGTACATCTGGTAGCCTCAGCAGCGATCCACTTCAGGTGTCCGGGCCATTTTGAAGCCACTCTTGCAAAAATAGGAGGGAAACACAGTGAACTGATTGCCAACCACTGGTCCTGTAGTAAATGTAAACGGGACAATCTAACAGGTTTCAAATAACTTTAGTCTTTTACAGTATTTTCTTTAGGGATGCTCCGATCACCAATTTTGGGGCCGATCGCCGGAATCAGTATCGGCCGATACCGATCGCCGATCCGATCGAGTGGGTGGGGCCTAAATGGAAGATTTAAACGTCACTTTAAATCTTCCATTTAAAGTGACGTTTAAAACTCAGTTAATGGGGCTCATTCACTGGAGCTTCCACAAACAACAAAAAACTTAATTATTACATTCAAATTATGTACATTATTCAAGTTTACATTCACTTTGGATAATAACACGGGAGAAATGAGCGGAAGCGCTCTCTTTTCCTCTCTCCCTCTTTCTCTCCCCCTCTCTCTCCCCCTCTCTCCCTCTCCTGACAGCCCGTCAGTATCGTCTCATGCAGCTCACTGATCCAGTAATGAGTGACCCGACAGTGAAGAATAAATATATTTATAACTAGTTTAGCTTGTTCCAGAGGTAGATAAAATAGCTAAGTGTTAGGTCTAACTCTTGTGTGTGTTGCTCCGCTCACCGGTCCGTCACAGCGGGTGGAGCTGCAGGATTTCTGCTTCACACACACGTTGCATACCGCTATTTTACTGTCTTTTTCGGACACCTTAAAATAATGCCAGACCGGTGAAGCCATTTTGGCGAGCTTGTTTTGCCGCGTACAGAGAAAAGTGTCATGTATGTTACGTCATGCGATCGGCATGTTTAGAGTGCACCGATCGATCGGTAGAGAGTGAGTGGCTCAGTGGATAGAGTGCTGGACTTTGAATCAGGGGGTAGCAAGTTCGAGTCCCACTGCAGTCAGCATGTCATTGTGTCCCTGGGCAAGACACTTCACCCCAAATTGCTCCTGTGGGGATTGTCCTCAGTACTGAATGTATGTAAGTCGCTTTGGATAAAAGCGTCTAACAAATGACATGTAATGAGTATCGGCAGATCTCGATCGGTGGCAGATCTCGATCGGTGACAGATCGATCGGAGCATCCCTAATTTTCTTTCATGTCTTTGAATGACATTTTCCTGAGGGCTGAACAAAATGACAACAAAGTGCACATAATCAGTTCCTGTCATTTGCGTCACAGTCACCTTCTCCTCTTCTTTGTTTTGCAGTGATCAGGTGAGCCCGGGGCAGACATGACTGGAGCTGGAAGTGGTGAGACTTTACACACTCAAGGGTGTTGTCAGGCAAATGTTGGGATATCTGTTGCATGAGCAGTATGAATTATCAGTTGTAGTTTAACCTCCCTACATTGCTAAAGCTGGATATAAGTGCAGCTTACTTCTGCTCACACTAAGTAGAAAACATCAATAATTTAAAACTTGTGTTGGTGTTTAGGAGGCCAGGGCCCGCCTGATGGGGGGGACGCTGAGGAGGCGGAGAGGTGTCCTATCTGCCTCTGCGTCCTGGCTGGAGGCGAGCTCGCCGTGCCCGACAGCTGCTGCCACGTCTTCTGCCTCAGATGTCTCCTCACATGGGCAGAGGTGACTATCCGTGAAAACTGTTTGAACTGATGATGTGAATTATACAATTTGTTGTATAGTAAAAAAGGCTCTTAAGACCTATATTTATTTTTACAGTAATTGTTTGATATTTTCTAACTGTTTTGATTAATTTTGTAGTTGCAGATGTCTCCGTCCTGCCCGGTGGACAGAAGACCTTTCACTAATGTTTACAGATGGGACGGGAATCTCAGCTGTGTGCAGGTGCGTCTGCCTTTTCTCCGTCATAGTTATAATACATCTGTGGTTCAGAAGAGGCCAGTGGCTGCTGTTGTTTTCCTAATCCAACCATTTAAAAAGTGGGTTTTTTTTAAAGGCAGTAATGTTAGGATTATACCGCTGCAGTTTGTTATCAGAACATTCAAAGTTTGCCGAGCCTGTTAAGGTTATTGAGCTCACCAGTAGGGGAAGCCAACCCCAGCTTTTGGAACAAGCGTTGCACCCTTGTATTTGTAATTTTTATGTTGGTGTCTGCCATTTTGGTAGCTTCCTCATGGACGGCTGCCTTTGACCCGGCACCCAATTACAATTTATATATGCAGTTGTTTGATTTGGAGAGGTTGTTTTGGAAAATACCATATTCATTGAGCCTGTCAGTCGTTTTAGCTGTTAAAAGACAGTATATGATGGAATACATACAATCTGTTCTTGACTTTTTTAAACAAAGCCAGGTCTGACTTCTATGACGGGCACAGTTTTGCAAATTGTGGCCCCAAAATGAAATGTGCTTCTTTTCGTTGTTCGAAGGTTCCTGTAAGGAAACGTGCGACTCAACCCGAAGCTGAGCGTTGCTACTGTAGAAACCCAGAACAGAAAGTCTGTCTCAAGTAAGTGTCAACACGTTTTTTTTTACAATCAAATGGTTAGCCCGTCTCAAAGGTCTTTACAGAGAAATTACTTAATAGGATATCAATCATTAATCATGGACACCTAATGTAGCAAAATCAAATTGGCTGGCATGATCTCTAATGTAACTATGAAATCCGCTTGAGAATCATTTCGTTTTTGTTTCTTTTCAGAAGTAAGGCTGCAAGAAGACTGAGACGGCAAAAGGTGGAGAGGACGGCTGACGCTAAAACGAAAGGTCTTGTTAGGAAATGTAACGACGATGGCCACTCCTCACTGAGCAGAAAAAAGGTGTTTTTCATGACTTCCTTTTTTGTAGTTGCCTTTTTTGTGTTGCCTTAAGTGTTTGAGTCTTATCAGCTTTCATATGATTTCAGGTGAGAGGAACAGAGTGCTGCGCTTGGTCATCGTCTCCATGTGTCTCAATAACAACTACATCCACGGAGCACATGTAAGCTTCCTTCAGTGATGAGTTATTACATAACTCCATGAATTATGATAAATAATTTAAGATTGACCAGAGTCTGAGTCATCTTGTTGTACTTTCTTTGTGCTTCCTTATGAACTCTTCTGTTCTGCTCCTGCAGGGCAGAGCCTGTGTGGGAGGACGTCCCGTATGACAGCGTAATGACACAGTGTAAAGCTCAGGCGCAGGACTGTCCGTGGCTCTCTGCTGCGGCGCCCATCCCTGCTAACGGCCCCTTCAGGTAATGACATCACAGCTGAGCCCTTACACTGCTCCTATGGCTGCTGCTGTTATGAAGTTTTCACGCTAAACAAGTTCTCTCATTTATGTCCAGTTTAATTTAAGTGGCACCAGAGTAAGATATATATATATATATATATATATATATATATATATATATATATATATATATATATATATATATACAAAGACCAATTGAAAATGAGTAACACCAGAGGCCTGTACTACGAAGCCGGATTTTCGCTTATCGGGCTAACTTCAGGGAAAACTCTGGGTTTCCGGTCCTACGACGCTGGTTCTCTTTTTAGCGGGCTAGATCTCCATGGTAACTTATGCTGAGCGGCTAACCTGCTCCGGAGCAGGTTAGGTTGCAGGCTAAGAGATCAACTCAGTGAAAGCACTGTCTGCTGACCAATCAGAGCTCAGTGTGAGGAGTTTAAAGCTATCAAGTCATATTACAGGAGAAAGGAAATCACAGACTGTGTGAACGTGAACATTAATAGAATATCCCCTCCCATCTTCAGAGCAATCTGACTATTATAATATTAGCGTTAAGAAAGCTTACTTAAATATCTGCCACGACATAAGTAACCGGATCAGAGTAACATTAAGTACAGTCCGCGGCACTGTGAGTGCAGACGTCGATGTGTCCCATTATCATTCATATCATATCACATCATAATGTATCATATATTTCCTTATCTGAGTCAGCTTCTTGAGCCGTATCTGGCCGTGCAACACTCACAGTGTCACATACTGTATGCAGAAGTATTATTTTAAGCAACACATTAAGTTGACGAAACACTCGAGTCAAATTCTCCTAATTAAAGTCAGATCCACTCGTGTCTTGGACGGGGCAGTGATTTCATAAACCTGTTAATGTACGCATTCAAACACTTTTTCTTTTACCAGCTGTATTCACCTTGCAGGTGCAGCTATGTGGCTTTTATCCTGGATAAAGTGTTTAAGTCATGGATGTTTAAAGTTTAACTTCTTCATATGTCTAATATTAAAGTTCACTTTTCATTCAGGAAGTATGACGCTGCGCTGTCAGTACGCTTGTCCATGTTTGTGATTGGTCGAATGCTCCAAATACCACCCCTCTCATGTGAACGCGCACCTAACTAGATAGGACACGGCTGGCTTGAGCGATCCACTTGATAACCCACGTCGTAGGACCGCTTAGCGAGAGCACGTATGTTTTGGATTGGGCCAACCCGGCTAACTCAAACATATCCAGGTTAGGTTGAACCGGCTTCGTAGTACAGGCCTCTGATTCAGGAAGATGTGATTTGTTTTGTAAGTCTTGCTTTGAGAGCCAGATGGAACAAACTGAAGAAAGGTGCTTCAATCTTTATGTTTAATGATCATTTGGCACAGTATCTGCACAAGGTCTATTAGATCTGACAGGCTTTTATAGAGACCTCGATCAACCTATATGAAATGAATATCAGTGGCCGATTGATCAGAAAGTGAAGGCTTACTGTTGCTGACATAACCCTCTCTGTCTGTGTGTTGGGGAGTCAGTTATCCTGAGTCATAGAAACGTTACCTGTAGTTGTTATTGCACAACGTTGTGAGGGAAGTCTAACAAACACTTGAATCGGTGTGATGCAACATTGTTGGTATATTACTTTACTTCGTTACTCTCTACATAAAGTAACTCGTTACTCTTTACATTACTTTTGCGTTACTCAGCAACAGCCTATAGCTAAAACGTAAAACTTAGGCCTACATGTGCACACATATGACAATTACTATTGCAATAAGGAAGACATAACACAAGTTAATAACGGTGACAATTCTAGTTTGTGCTGCTTGTTTGGAGTCGGCACACACTCAACATCATCACTCTGGGTTGGGGGGTCTTTAGCTACTAGCTTCGTGTTAGCATGTTGCCTTTGCAGGTGCTTGGAGAGGTTTGATGTTGTGTTTGCAGCAGTGCACCTTACCGTCACATTCCTGTCCTTTCTTCTGACAAATGTAAAATAATGGGCATACCTCCACCTCTCGAAAGTTATAACTTGATGTCTCTGTCTGCACTGCAGCACAACTCCTGTGACAGTTGCATGTGGACAAGTCGCGCAAATGTTACGAAAATATAAACCTGCGGCGGAAATCCCTCTAGTGACTTGAAATATTTAAAATTGTTAAAAGTTAGACCTATCTTATCTACCCCTGGAACTAGCTAAACTAGTTATAAATATGTTTATTATTTACTGTTGTGTGTCGGGTCACTCATTCACTGGATCAGCGAGCTGCATGAGACACAGACAGGCTGTCAGGAGAGGGAGAGGAAAAGAGAGGCTCCGTTTATTAAACCCGCCGTTTTATTATCCAAAGTTACTGTAAACTTCTGAATAATGTAGTAACTACTAGTCTAGTCTGTCAAAGGGAGAATCTAGTCATTTGTTCGCGCAATGTTAGTAACTATAGTGTGATTACTGAATTTATAACAGTAACATGTTTCGCGCAATGTTAGTAACTGTAGTATGATTACTGAATTTATAACAGTAACGCGTTACATTACTCCGTTACCGACAAATGTAATTTTATTACAGTAACGCGTTACACCCAACACTAATCATGTGTGATGAAAAGATTGCGTGTGTTGACGGGGAACAACATTAACTGCAGAATATTGTCTGTGTTAATTGTTGGTTTCATATATGTCCTGTTTTTTTTGGTCATAATACTTTTTTTTTAAAGCACAACCTAACTTATGTAATATTTAATATAATATCTGTCCAACCGGGCACATGCATCACTCCTGTCCCTCTGGCACTTCGGCTCAAATCTAGTTTCTTAAGTTTTACAATGACAAAACACTATCGCACGGCTTAGTTGAATACTCGATTCTGATTGGTCGCACTGCTAGGATTATAGCAGACCATTGCTAAGGACGATTTGATCAAGGGACGTAGTGCAGTCACATCAATCCGCAAAAAGAAATCCAATTAACACAATGTTAGCTGTTGCAAAACAAAAACACATATTTTGTCTGTTACTCCATCACAATACATCAAGAAATCTACAAGAATACGGCGCAAGAGAAGAAAAGAGGTTAAAAGAAACGGAGAGAGAAACAAATCAGTACCCCTGTGTAATAAAATGAAGAAGATATAGAAATGCAGGAATAAGTTGTATTACTTATGCAGTCGCTGAAAGAAAATTCAATTAACTGTTTGGCTTTTGTAATTGACAGAGAAGTAATGGATGGGATGGTATCTTTTGACCTAAATAGTTTTTGTGTGTGTATATTTCTCACTTTACAGGCAAAGCTTCCATCCATCCGGTTGGAACCAGAGCCCGTTTCCATCTCCCTTTTCCTCCCCGTCACCTTGCGGTCCCGGTCATTTTGGTGAGTCTATAAAAAGGATGTAAGGCTCTTTTTCTGCTGTAACAACGTACATTTCCCCTCTGTGGGACTAATGAAGGTATTCTGATTCTGATAAACGAAGGAATATCGTTTACCTGATTTATAATGGAAATGTTTGGCCTCTGTACCTGTAAATGCTCATGGTTTCTCTCCCGCAGTGTTTCAGGGTGTTGTCTGCGCCATCACGTGTCCCAAAGGAGGCGAGAAGAGAGGCGGGCGAGCTTCAACCTCCAAAGCTCCCACCAAAGAGGCCAAGTCTCTACCATCCCGGCGGTCCGGACGCAACAGTAAGAGCCAGGAAGAGGCTCCTGTGTCTGACCCTTCATCACCGCCGCAGCCCTCTTCGTCTGACTCTGACTCGGCCCCCTCACAGCCCACCAAGCCGGGCAAGGCATCGCAGACACCGGCCAAGAGGAAGGGAAAACAGGTCACAAACCGGAAGGCCGGAGGGAAAAGAAAAGCCGCGCCAAGGAAAAAGAAATCTGCCCAAGTCGTGAGCAGTCCCACGGCAAGTGAAGACGAGGAAGAGGAGGAGGCAGATGGGTGCGACAACGCCGAGAAGGAGGAAGAAGAGAAAAAAAACTTGGATCAGCAACAGTCTGACGCTGAGGGGAGTCTAAATGAAGACCACGACACTATCGACTCCCCTAATGAGCGAGGAGGCGCTGAACCCTCCGGGAACGACGTGGGGCTGGACAGTGACGAGACTCAGGAAGAGTCTAATGAACAGAAACCAGACTCAGCTCCATACAGCCCCGGTTCCTGCTCCGAGGGCGAACAGAGCAAGAGGGAGGAGGAAGAGCCAGCAAGCCCCGCGTCCTCTGGAGGAGACATCTGTGACAAAAGTCCTCCACCGTCACCCTCTGACTCGGAGAAAAGTCCTCCACCGTCACCCTCTGACTCGGAGAAAAGGCGCTCACCGTCACCCTCTGAATCAGAGAAAAGGCGCTCACCGTCACCCTCTGAATCAGAGAAAAGGCGTTCACCATCACCCTCTGGCTCAGAGAAAAGGACTTCTCCATCACCCTCTGACAACGCTCTGCTGGGCGACCTGATGTCCCCGCACGGTGATGACCAGGATGACGACATGGAGATTTGTGCGGCCTCAGTAGAAGCCAACAATGAAGGTTCTTCAAAGGAGGCTGAATCATGTGAGAATTCTCCACAACCGGCCTCCGACTCGCAGAACAATCCAGATGTTCCAGAATCAAAAGCCTCTGACGAAAATGATTTGAAAGCATCGGGGTCAGAAGAGCCTTTAGTAGACGACAGCTCAAGGAAGGGAACCGAGGATGACACTAAGGTTGTGCCCATGGACTGCAGTTCCCCCACGATGGAACATAGCAACAGTCCGAAGGAGGGGGACGCCTCAGCCGCGGCAGAGACTCCTGCTTCTGAAAGCCAAGTCGCCAAGGACAAGAGTGGCAAGGACCAACGGGAAAAGAGCCGGGAGAGGGAAAGGAGCCGGGGGAGAGAAAGGAGCAAGGATAGAGAAAGGAGCAAGGATAGAGAAAGGAGCAAGGATAGAGAAAGAAGCCAGGAGAAGAAAAATGGCAAGCAGCGGCGCTCTCGTTTCCACTCCCCATCCAAGGCCTGGTCACCAAAGAAGGAATCAAAACGAGAAGGGTCCAGGCGATCGCGCTCCCGCTCCAGAGAGCGAGACGGCAGCCCGCCCTCTAGCCGCTCGTCCCGGGCCCGCAGCAGAGAAAGAGACCGAGACCGGGACGGTGAGAGAGACCGAGACCGGGACGGTGAGAGAGACCGAGACCGGGACGGTGAGAGAGACCGAGACCGGGACGGTGAGAGAGACCGAGACCGTGACGGTGAGAGAGACCGTGACGGTGAGAGAGACAGAGACCGGGACGGTGAGAGAGACCAGTCTCGGAGGGAGCGCAGCCGTGAGAGGAGGAGGCGGCGCTCCAAGAGTCGATCCAGGTCAAGCTCTCAGTCCAGATCACGATCCTACAGACGAGGGGCCAGCCCCGAGCGGCCGGCCTCCAGAGAGCAGTCTCCCCAGAGGAGGGAGCGTAGGGGCGGCTGGAGGTCAGGGCAGGGCAACGGGTCCGGGGGCGAGGGACGGAGAAATCAGAGCGACGCTGGGCAGCCTGAAAATGGCGTGCCGGCGGAAAGTTCCCCTGAGCGCAAACAGTGGTCGGAAAATCCTGACTGGGTTACAGAAAAGAGTCGGAGTGACGCCGAAAGCAAGAGTGGGGGCTCACGCTGGGAGGACCGTGGTGGGAACAGAGGGTCCCGGGGCGCAGGCCGGGGGGGAGGCAACCGCAGCTTCAACAATTCAGGGACTGACGCATACAGCCGCTTCAACGAAAACCGGGGCGGTGGCCGGAGGAAAGAGTCCGATTCAGGAGACTCGATGCTCGACCGCTCAGGCTGGTCGTCGGCGTCCAGCTGGGCGGTCAGAAGGAAACTACCCGCAGACGTTCAGGATTATTACTCCAAGAGGGAGAGGGGAGGACCAGGAGGCTGGAACCGACAGGAGGAGGAGCAGCCGGGGGCAGCAGCAGGTCAGACTCTGCTCAGTTTCTGTGACAACCACTTCTTTATCTCAAACACTAGTGCTTGAGGAAATGAAAATGTAAAAGTCAGTTAAAGTTCCCTCTTTTATCTGAACAGTAGTCATGGATTAATGTTCTCTTTGAGGCTAGCAGAGGAAGATATTGGTGCTGTAGCTCAGAACCGTGAACAGGCATAAACCTAGGTTACCCTCCGGCATCCACGTATTATTATATTTGAGAAGAAAGAACTATTTATTTATTTATTCCTTTTTAAGACTCTCTCAATAGTTTTCTCTAAGGCTAGCAGTTGACATAACCTTTTATTTTTAGCCTGTATCTCCTACACATTTCACTCATTATGAACTAATCTTTATCTCTCCATACATACCTTAGTACTTTAAATCATTTTAGTTTTCCATTAAATTGATAATATGTTCTCAATATAGTTTTCTCTTGTTCTCCAGATGCGACTAAAAGCGATCCTCCCTCCCAGGCGGTCCCGGGTAACGCCCCGGGGCCCGTGATGAACGCGGGTCCTCCTCAGCTCAACGTCCTGCAGCATCACTTCCCCCAGCAGGGCCAGAGGGGGGCGCTGCCCGTCAGCCTGCAGCCTGCAGCAGGGTACACCATGCCTCCTCAGTACCCCGCCGTACCGCTGCTTCAGGGCCCCTCTGCCGGCGGTCAAGGCCTCCCCCCTCCTCCCCCACCTCCTCCACCCATGCATCAAGGCAGCCAGGGTGCAGCAGCTCATCCCGATGGCTACAACACACAGGTATGACATACTGGCAATGTACATTAATAGACACAAATTCTGTTCTTAAGAGCATTCCCACAATCATTCTTCTGTCATTTCATCCCTAGATGGCAAGTACAATGGGTTATGGGAAACCTGGCCTACTTCCCACCCCAACCAAAGCTGGTGTTTCCTTAGCGACCTACTGCCAGTCGGCACCCAGCCAGGTGTATCCCTCCTCCACCACTTACACCGGCCAGCACAGCAAGGCTCATGCTGACAGCTCCAAAAAAGAGAAGGTAACCTGCTGCCAGCCGAACACAAACACCTCTGTTTCTCTTTCTGAGAGAAATACCTGATCTCCTCTCTTTGTTTTTGAAACAACAGATCCAGGAAAGAGCTGTCAATGAAGTGAAAAACGCCATCAAACCGTATTACCAAAAGAATGAAATCAACAAGGATGAGTACAAGGAGATCGTCCGTAAAGCGGTAGAGAAGGTACAAGCTTCACTGACAATTTCTTATACATGTTATATTGTGTTTAATTTAAAAAGAAGTGTCATTCTAACATGCCTGTCAGGCTACTGAGCTCACATACTCTTTGTTTACGCTAGAGACGAGGCTAAGGGATGTGTTTTTCAAATGTATCACTACTGGATTCTTAAAAAGCCTTTAGATAATGCACTTCTTTTGGAAAGGCCAAACAGAACCCCTCATGGCCCATCCTATTGAATAGGGACGTAAAACGATAGAGACTCAAGCTTTACAGGATTTGTTTTGAGCGTGTCTGTGATCTTTCCTTAGGTGTGCCACAGCAAGAGTGGTGAGGTGAACTCCAGTAAGGTGGCCATCCTGGTGAAGGCCTACGTGGACAAATACAAGCACGCCCGCAAGAAATGAGGGTGGTCCCGCTGCGGCGCGCAGACGTCCTCACAGACACTCAGCTGCTCAAGTGCAATTTCCTCTGGCTGGAATTGGGTCTCCAAACTGAAAGACAACGGAGAGCCGACCTTTTCTTTTTTGATATCTCTACCTTTTATTGAACGATGAAGATTTTTTTCTATAGATTTTGATATTTTGTTAGAAAAAGAATTACCCAATCAGAAATTGTACTGCAAGAGCCCTTTATTTTGCATAGATCATGTGACTGGGGAACTACTGTAAAGAGCGCAGGGTAGCATGGAGGAGGGGGGGGGGGGGGGGGGCACTCTCCCTGAGTGCCGGCTGGTACGATGAGTTCCTCCTGAATGGCATCCTGATCGCATAGCTTAATTAATTGAATATTGTCAATGTTCTTTTTTTAAATATTATATAATATTTCAGGTGAAAGCCTAGTTTAAAGAACAGTGCATTGCCTTCATGATTCTGTGGCCCCGTTTTGGGCCGGAATCTGGTTCATGTGATTGTAATCAGGGCCCTGATTGGCTGGCGAGACACTAAGTGGGACAGCTAATCAGCAGTGAGTTTGTAATGTAAGGAACAGATCCCGGAAAGGGGGACAGATCAAATGAAATGAACCTTTCCCCCCCGCCTGAATATGTTTGAAATGTCAATGGGTGAACATGAACTGTGCAACGTATCCAGAAAGTAGTGAAATAAATTAGCTGCTTCCTGATCTGCTGTGTGTTTGTGAGAGGCTTAGGCTACATTTTAATCTCCATCTTTGTTTCTGTCATGGTTCTGCTTGACTCTTCCCATGAATCCCCTGTTAAAAATATCAATTGTTACCAGACATCAAGTGATCGGATGTACAGTAGGTTGGACTCATAGTCTAGCATTTGTACTCCCGGTGGCCTGATTTTTATGAATTCTGGGTCGATTTTGACGATTTAGGGTGCTCGATTGGACAGATTGCCTATTTATTTGAAAAATAATTGTCCACATTAGAGGCAATCATTTTCATTTTGTGCTCTCTATAGCCGATGGCCGCAACTCTAGTCATGGTAGTCAAAATCAGCCCACCAAGAGTACAAACATGGCCACTTTCTGGTTAAAACTGCATTTCTTTTATTCTGAAAATGGCAGAAATGGACTCAATAACCCCCAAAATTGTCCAAATCGGCCAAGCCATTTTTGAACTACTTTCCCCATACGCTATAATATTAATTTATGCTAATGAACACAACTTGTGCTAACTATGCAAATTGCCCAACATATGCTAGTTAGCAGCCAGCAGGTTGTGCTGGGGACCCATACTATACATTTGAACATTTCACAACACTACTCTAATGGCTTGCAACTAAACTATCTTTCCCACAGATCCTTACAATTGTGTGAATTTGAATGAAAGCAATGCCTTGAATGTTTTTGAGATCATTGAAAGTTCATGAATGTCTCTTTTTTTTGTGCAAGAACACAGATTGGAAGTGATCTTGATATATTTTTTCTGCAAGCTTCTGTAAAATCCTGCTAGTTCTAATTATAAAAACGTTCAGTGTTGCAGTCCTAATTCGTGTCTTTAACTATGCCATGCTAGGTCCTTGAATTTGAGAGAACAAGCCCTTGAAATTCCTTGAATTGTATGTTTATTAAGGCATGGGAACCCTGGAGCTCTATTTCTAGTGAATAATATTACTTTAGATACAGATATGTAAAAGAAACCCAACATCCCTTTGTGGCCGTGTAGAAATCTGACCTTCACCACGTTAATAGCTGTGGCTAACTCGCTAGCAGACGCTCTTCTACACACCCAGCAGCGAGAGACATTTTTTAATTGGAGTTTCTGACCAGTTGCTTTGTTTTTTGTCAGAAATATCTGTCTGTAAGCTGATTTTTTTGTGCTTTTTTCAGGTAGTGTGCTGTGGCTATTTAGAAATCTCTTTCCTGAAGCTGCTGAAACTACTATGATCGTGAACCACATCAGTCAAATTCTGTGACAGGCAGCTAAGCAATGTGCTGAAACTCCATATAAAGTTTGGAAAGTCAGCAACTACTGCTTTCAATCAACCTTTCATAAAGCTGTAGTTGGTAGTGAACAACACCAGATAGATCTGCACACCAAAAAGCACCCTGCTTCCCTTCAGACTGCAGATATTGGTCATTAAACAGCTTTTTTTATCACCTCATTTCTTTACAGATTATTAGTCTTATATAGCCTACTTATGTCAGGATATATTGATAGTTGGGCTTAAAAAACTCCTTCCTGTCTGGCTGACCTCAGGTTGACTAGGTGAAGTTATGTTAGAAATATTGGTGAATAAGAATAGTTTCTTCTATTTTACTGTAGATATGTTGACTCAGTCGCTGCAGGAAAAGCGCAGGTGTGCATAATTAGTTAAAGGTGGGGTATGTAATTTATTTCAGAAACACTTGTTATATTCCATGGAATGCTCTTAACGGTGGGGTATGTAATTTTGGAGAAACCAGAGTGCGCTAGGATTTGAAAATACACAGCCGGAAAAAATCTGCCACTTCCTTACAGAGCCCCTCCTCCAACACACACGAACGCGCACATGACCAATGAGGGCACGAGATAAATTTGTGCACAGATGGAAGGCTGACAGGCAGGTAGGCCCAGAGCCGTATAATATAATATAGTTCTGAAGGTTATAGTTCACAGAATTACGTATAATTCTCTCTATATGGTGCTGGGTAGGCCCATAGATATATATATAAACACATATCTATGGGTAGGCCATCCAGTTATTTTAGCCGGGCCGGCTTAAATGATTGGTCGTGCTTTTTACAGCGCTATGGCTTCCACAGATTTTTTTTTTTTAATGTATTTATTGTCAAAGCATTTAATATATTCATTGCTATCGGGATGTTAAGAGCATTCCATGGAATATAACAAAAAGTGTTTCTGAAATAAATTACATACCCCACCTTTAATTGACTTCAGCTTGTCACTGTGTTACTTACCAGGACGAGTCAATCAACCAGGCAAAGGAAATCAGCTATGCGGGTTGCAGACTTTTGAACAACATAACGGAGTCAAATTCACACGGATTGCAGGTCAGTGTTTATCTTTCTGTCATGTTTTATCACAGAACAGCATGTGTGTTATCGGAGTTGTAATGAAGAATTTGTGTGGGATACAAATGGTGTCCACTAGGGGGCAGCGTCGTCTAGCGAAAATGTGTTAGTGCCAGGAGAAACAGAAGTCTGCTGTAGGAGAATAAAAACTAACACAATTATGACAGTTATTCAATTTATTTGTGGAAGGGGAGTAAATATATGTTTTATCCACTCGGTAAACTTATCTTTATGAGTTTAAAATGTATATTAAAAAGAAATACAGAAGGTGAGCATTGGCAGCTGCGCTTGGTTCTATGCCAGCTCTTCTCCCTTTTCTCTGTCTAACATCTATTTTAACAATACAGTAATGTGAAAATCCCCCTAAAAAAATATATAATTTTAAAATCTTAGTAAGTAAAAGATAATAAAATGACCGGGGTTTTCTTTGACATCCATGGTTGTCGTGTTTATCATTACTAACTACTAGTTATGAGTGTGGAAGCTGCTTTTTCAACTATTGTTAAAACACAATTACTGAAATTAGTGCGCTCTTTGTCAAAACATCACACCCAAAATCCAAAAACATACACAACATATCTTATATCTTGAAAAAGCAAACGCTTAATTCATTCATTTTATTTTTGCATTACAAATGTACACCAAGACGCCTTTATAAATCTTGTATTTCACACTTTAATGTGTTAAGTAAAAAGATATGTTGGCCTTTGCATTTATAGCACTCTGTAAATGGAGAAACAAACAAACGTGTTTATTCTATTAACTCATTCCCGTATCAGATGTCATTACAATTTGGATACCTAAACATAGTTGCACTGTAAACCAACTACAGTCATTGTAATTACATCTTCCTCTAACCCTCTCTAAATGTGTCCTCCATTGTTTCTACGTGATGTATTGGCGTCTTACAGTTTCTAACTTCGTGATTAAGCAGACAATGTGTTTATAGTTTAATTCTGCTGCTCAATAGATGATATGTTACATGAGGTAATGCTTTCTAAAAGTTTCTGTGTCTTGGAAATTGCAAAAATCTAATTCAGAGTGCCTGAATCCATGTTAAATGGGGAAATTGTAAACTACATTAAAGCAGAATGTGACAAAATAAGACATATTTTACTTTTCTCTTTCCTTTATCCTTCTTAGAATATGGCAAAGCTTTTCTTATTTGGTAAAGCCTTTTCTTTGAAGAATCCTTTTTTTCTGTCCCCCCTGGAATCCTCTATGTTGGTTGATATTTGAAAACATTGTTAATAACTAACCTTAATAAATCACATTCTTGAGACAAAGAAATGCTGACACAGGACACAGAACACCAAGGTGTTATTAGATTATCTTCATCTATTTTAATTGGACAATATTTACAGCATATACATAGTGTTTCATTGAAACAAGAGTGTAACACTGGTGGGCAAAGCCCTCTTTGCTCCTGAGGTCCAGAGACGGCTGACGTTCTCTACAACCACGATGTGCATAAAGAACATTTCGCTGAACTGGCTCTGTGTCACGGGGCCAAAAAGGACACGAGTTTGCTGCTGTTGTATCGGTGGCTTCACATGTAGCACAGTCTTCATTCAGTCAGTCTTTATAGAGAGCAACAGTGTTTCAATATCAAAGATTCACCAGCGGGGTGGGGGGGTTCGCTTTTGTTTTACAGCTCCAATGCAATATTGTAAAAAAAAGAAAGTTCAAACAAAACAAAGCGTATATACAGTTGAACTCAATAGATATATATATATATACATATATATATATGTACATACAATATTATATAAATATAGTAAAATAGATTAAATTACATTGATTTCACGGTCTTCCATAAATAGATGTTGGACAATAACAGTATGGTGATGTGTACAGTTAACGCTGGAAGCACAGTGTCAGATGACAGATTCACATCTCAACAGGCAAACAAATCCACGTCGAGTTTTCAAGTTCTGAAATATCTCATTTTTTTCCCGCAAAACACTTCAAATGTTGTGACAGACACTCTCCTTTGCTTTCTCTGTTGTTTGGTTGTCAGTATCCAGAGCACACCTGACTTTCGTTTTAGTTTTTTTGTTCTTGCAAGTTTAACAGGTATATTACAACCACGGCATGTGGTAAAATGCAAAATATTCTTCCATAGAGAAAAAAATGTTAATGTTGCTCCTGAAGGCTGGGCGGCCTCCAGGACTCAAAGCAGTAGTGTCCATCTTCAGCAGGTTATACAGAGTAAATCATTTGCAGAGAGTCCTCTTGTGAGGCACTCTCAGCTCCCAGTGTCGGGCAGGTTCTGTTCACTCATAATGCTTTTACTAGGAAACCTGACACAATAAGCAAGTTCACAGAGCCTTGGTACCAATACTGAAAAGGCAATGTAGTAGGCCTTGCCCCTGTCTGTTTTTTCTCCACAAGTGTGCTGAACAGTAAGTGCTTCTCAATATACAAAGATGCTTAACAAACACATTTTTGGCAAATGGGAAAAAACAAACTACAAACGTTGGAAGGAACGTATTCATCCTGGAGGAAGACGAACATCAGGTCTGCTGCCTCCTGTACATCTCGGGGAGTTTCTCAGCAGGACGAGTCGGGGGTCACAGCCACACACACGCACACAACGGCGTACCAGTGTGTCAGCCGCGTTTGAACTCTACCACTATCTCTGCTTTGAGGCACCTTCAAATATTTGTTCTCAGCTGTGCCATAACTACAAAAGAGCGAAAATCAAAACGACACTCAAAGAAAGTTACATTAAAAGGAGAAAAACCAAGTAAAACACCATCTTTGTGGCCTAAAACAGCATACTGTACAAAGTTCGATACATTCTCTTGGAATGGCATGGTTGGTGTCTCAGGAAGTGGAAGCTGAGCATCGAGTGAGTTCTTGTGTTTTTCCTACTCTTACAGTATTCTCCATCTTTTGTTGGTTGCAGTCGCAGCAGTCTCCTCTCTTTAGTGTCCGTCTCCGTGTTTGACTGCGCCGGCTGTGGCGTTGTGGATCCAGTCCAGGATGATGAGGGTCATGCTGCCGGTCATCACCACGAAGCCTAATATCAGGAAGGCAGTGGCCTGGAGAAACGAAACATTTACAAAACGGTCAGACACACAACGCCCTGTACAACTACTAATTGTGATTTGCATTTATCCATCCATCATTTACATCCATACACTAATGCCAACAGCCTGCTGGCTACCATTCATTCTTTCTTAACGGGTAAAATAAGATATGTGTTGCTTCAAAGTGACTTCAGGAGTCCAAAAGTCTGAAACAAATGTAGATCCTCACCCCAATCTTCTGCACAGACTTCATGGACTCCTTCTTCACCAGTTTGAGGTAGAAAGCCGAGGGCAGGATGAAGATGAGCATGGCAGCAGCAGAGGCGCCTGTGTGAGGGAAAGACATTTAGCATTCAAGTCACATTTTGTATTTCGCATGGTTCTCAAGGCACTGAAACGTATATGATAAGAATCGTCATTTTACCGATGAAGCCGAAGATGTCCCTGATGGTGGGGACGAAGATGACCAAACAGTTGGTGCAAGCCAGAAGCACCACGGTGATGATGGTGTGGCGGATCCAGCTGAATTCCTTAGAGGCGCACAGCAGCTGGTTGACGGAGGTACGAATCTACGCAGAGAGAGACAAAAAGAGAGGTTAGCGTACACAAGCCGGAGAACTCTCATGAGGCGTGAGAAGAGGTGCTGGATCTCTGGGACACGTACAGGGAAGAGCACCACGGGCACGGTGAGGGTGACGGCGGTCAGCACGGCCAGACGCACGATCAGCAGGAGCACGTCGGCCTTGTAGACCTTGGAGTATGTGTGCAGCAGCTCGGGCTCCACGTGCACTGAGGAGAGAGACAGCAGAGTCTTTAGACCTGAACCACCCGCCGCTCCATTCACTAACATGGCACATTTATAAAGACATGCATAGGATCAAGTAAAAAAACCTGCCTTTATAAGAAGCTTAAATATGTGTTATCAAGAATATTTTCCTCCAAATATGATCCATCCATCTAAGCTGGTCTGATAATTCAACATTGAGAACGCAGGTGCGAAAATACAGCCTCAAATAGAACTGTAGACTTTTATATTTTGGAGAACATCTAAACAAACAGCAATATACTTTAGCATTAAAAAAGCTTCATTCGAGCCTAAAAGGTGAATATTTGTTGGCACAAAACCTACTTTGACTTAAGCAATCCGGTTTGTGAAACAAAAAGCTCTCGTCCTGACTTCTTCACCGCTCTTTTGGTATGTGTACTACGTTGTCCAAAGCTGGAAAGCCCAGACAGGCAGGTATGAACAAAGGTTTCTAAATCCAGACGTGCCCTAACTCGGAGTGTGCGTCGTTCATGACGCTTTTTCTGATTACCAAGCTCTTGTATAATGGGTTTGAAGTTCTGGGAACATTTCCGATGTTCAGAAGTCACTGCCATAACAAACATGGTGGCAGATTGTGCAGCTGCGTCCAGAGACTTGTTCTCTTGCATAACAGGCCTTGAGCTTCTTCTCCCAACGTTGCATGACTGATCTACTCGGGGTCACTGACCGCTTGTGAACCCACTCATCAATCATTTGTTCTTGAAGAATTTGGGGATGTTTTGCAATATCAGAATCAGACCATTCAGCTACAGTTGGGTTTTGTGACAGTTTAGAATGAAATAAAAGATGAATAAGATATGAGACTCACGGTTGAAAGTCAGATATCCGAACAGGGCGGCCAGCAGGTACATGATGAACATGGACAGGAAGGACACGTTAGCCACGTTCTGCATCTTTCGGCGGGAACGGCTGTTTGGGCGGGAGAAGACGGCGGGTTTTATTTAGACTCCAGCTCTTATGTTGATGTGAGTCAAACTCTTAACAAACATGAAAGCAGCTGTGGATTGAAATGAAAGACGGGTTCACTCACTCTTTCAGCTCCTCGTACATGGGCAGGATGGCGGGGTGGCACACGAAGGCGAAGGTCAGGATGGGAACGGCGTAGACAGTCTGTAAAATAAAACAACAAATTCAATACTTATGCCAAAAGTATTCTGAAAGAAATGTGTTAAGGGAGAGACTCTACAGGTAAAGGGTCTTCTCCAGATATAGCGTGTTTACCTGAGAGTTGAAGACAAAGTATTTTGGTGTGCAGGGGTCATCGCTGTAGTCCACGGCGCTGTTGTTCAGTAGGGACAGGGTGGTGTTCAGAACTTTGCTGATCGTCTCATTCAGAGCGTTCATGTCCTCGGGGAGGGGGCACGGGATCTGGAACTTCTTGATGATCACCTGGAGGACAAGACAAGCTTATTAGAAAACGTTGTGACAATAGTTTCTGGTTGAAAAAATCTAGCTCACAAGAGAAACAAAACCACACTGAAACCCCACTGTGTGTGTGTGTGAGTAAACAGAAGCAAGTACTCACCACAATCAGGAAGAACACCATGCAGAGAAGGGACAGACCACTGGTGTAACCAAGGTAACCTGAAGGGTTGAAAAAAAAAACAGACACATGAGCTTCTGTTTGTTTTTTTTCCAATTTGAAAGCTGCAGAATCTTCCTTGGTTTTCTTTTTATGATTTCACTCTGAGCTCTGAACATTTTGAGACTTGCACAGATGCCTCTTACCCTATGGAGAAATACAAACACACACACACACACCCACTTACCCAGGTTCCTTAGCAGTGACAGGGGCAGGATAATGATGAACGTCACCATTATCACCAGGTAGTCTCCGTTAGTGTACCATGCTCTGAAACATAACACAAGTAAAAGTTAGACATTAAGGAATGGAGGAAGACAAACCGCAGCGCATTCCTGAAGTGCAATTGTTTTGTTTGCATCACAGTAATTGTAAACAGCAGCAACAAAGACAATTAATTTATTCGTAGGTGACTGTCCAATTGCATTTTTGCTTTTTTTAATTAATATTAAGATTTGATATATTTTGCACAGCTCATAAGAGGTCCACTAGATTTGTCAAGGTTTGTAAGCTCTGCTCTGTAATGTAAGTGATGAATCATACTTAAACACACATTTTCCCAGACATCTTTATTTGAAAAACTTTAAAATCATTTTCCACCCAGAATATATATTACATTACATTAAATTTAGCTGACGCTTTTATCCAAAGCGACTTACAATTACCAATTACAGGGACATTCTCCCTGGAGTAACTAAGGGCTAAGGGCCTTACTCAAGGGCACACTAGTGGTGGTGTTCACAACCTTCCGATCTTCAGCCCACCTCACTATCCATTAGACCACCACTACCCCTCTCTATATATAAATATATAAAATTGTGGCCGCTGTGCAGAAAACATGGCATTAAAGCCACTCGTCTGTCAGAGTTCTCTTTTTTTACATCTTCACGCCTGATCAGCTGACACACAGTGGCCTGCACAGGATGACTGCATCGCTCACAGAAATAGATTCAACAAAGCAGCGAACACATCAATTTTTTAAACTTGAAGCGAGGTCGCTGTGAGCTCATGGCGTGCTCCGTCTCGATGCAGCACCGACTACATCTTCTCCTAAAAGGGCTCTTTGAAGGGCCGCAGTCCGTCCCTCCCTCCCCGCCAACAAAAGGACAAAGAAACCGCTTCCCCTTCTCCAACACTCTGCACTTCAAAAACAACCGGCAGCCATTTTGCTCAATGTGCCTCTTCACCTCGAGTGCCTCTGCCAGGCGTTCCTCTTGCCTCTCACAACTGCCCTTTCTACCGTTAGATGTGAATCTTATGCTTGTCTTTATTAAAAGGTGGTGATAATGATGCCTGAAACAACACCTACATTTTCTGATGGTTAGACCTGAGTCACAATCTAAACAAATGCAGCTGTTCCTCAGCCAGACGCCTCTCTTCTCACACATTTAATGGAAATTTGGTCAGACAAACAATATTTTGTGGTTTTACACCAATGTGGTTTCTGCTCTAGATGCTTTCATATTTCTGTGCTTTTTTTCTGTTACTGTTAACTAAAATGAATCAAACCACATTTTCTCACTCACCCATTCTCTCCCACAAAGGATTGGATGACGATGGGCAGCTCGTATTTTACGATGTAGAGGTAGCTTGACATGGCTGCAAACAGAAGAAATGCAAGGTAAGTAATCAGGTGAACTCCACTACAAAAATAGTGATGTCTAAAAGTTGTTTACAGGAAATCTTTATGTTCCAAGCTCCAAATTAGCCAATGTATTGTTCACCATGCAGTCCATTGAGACACAGACGGACAGGTGGACAACATAACGCATCTGAAAAGACGCAATGCGAAAAGTTGCTTACCTCCGATGTTCTGCATGGTGATGGAGATAGAAGCAGCGAGTTTCCCTGGCATCCCGAAGGCTTTGTAACCCAGCTGCTCGTACACCAGTGCACCTTTGACAACGATGGAAATATTTAGCTTTCATAAAATACCTCAAGAGACCACTGTGAAGAATGGACACAGGACTGTCTCAGGACTCACCTCCTTCGTGGGCTGTCTTTAGCAGCAAGTGGACAGAATACAAGGAGAAGATGGCGACGGACGAGAGGAGGATCCTGTAAACAAACAAGAGGGATCTTTAGCTGATGGAGAGAGGATATCAAAAGGAAAGATGGAAACATTTTTTACAAACGGTTCCTAATCGATGCTGAAGTACTTTGCTGTTAGATGTGCTGATCTTTAGAAATGACAAAGGAGCTTTAAAGGCCAATTCAATGACAAATGTATTCGGGTTGCTGCGGTAAACAAACACTTTGACATTTAGTCAACGTGAAGGTCAGACAGTCATCCGCCTGACATGCAGAAGATGTCTCCCACAACAATTACTCAATTCTCATGACCGCCAGCAACACGAGACGATTTCATACATTTTTTTCAACAAGTCAACAAGTCAACACCCTGACCATCTGCTGTGATAAAAACTAATATCAGCGAAGACTTTGAAAGCAGCATCAGTCTGCAGGTTTCTTCGGGGTCACGAGCAGCATTAGCAGGGTGACAAAGGACGACAAGTTTCCCCGTACGGGATCCTCTTAGCACCCTGGGGATGCTGCATATCCACCAATATGTGAAAGGTTATTAATAGTCTAGGTGAAAATTAATCTCAAAGCCATTTAGAGCGGTGCTATTAAAACGTTTCCTCCCTGCCGCTGACATCATACCAATTTATATCTTGTGGCTTTATACGCTGCCACTCAACAAATATATGCTTTGGATGGCCTTTCCTGGAGCGTGGTTTGTTCTGCAAAGCTTACTTAACTCTTTGTGACGTACTTGCTGATGAGAAGCGCACCAGACAGTGTTTGGAAACGCAAACAGACACAGTTTATAATCTCCAACTTCCTGCCTATGTAAAGCTCCGATTGGCCACCTGCTGGCTGCCGTTGAAGCCCCATTCATGATCTCCTGCGAGCCTGGTTTACATAACTCTGGCCCAAATGCGGCAGGATTAGCTCGTCTAAGCTGCTTCTCCTGACACTCCCTCCCTGTGATTGTTAACTGACATACAACCACAATAGGGTGGTGCCCAAAGCAATCTAGTAACCTACTATTAGTGCATGTATACTTTGACAGTGTTGCTTGAAAACAAACTTCACTGGGCTTTCTTTAGCTGGTGTATGCCTTCTGGAAGCTTGTGTTTCTTACGTATGATTCAGGGAAAAAGGCTGCTCGAAGTGGGGTTTTCCTTCCCACCAGAAATGAACAATTTCCACAGTTTTATCTAAAGCAAACATGATAGCAAATACTCAAACTGCAGCGATGAGCGTTGCTAAACTCTCGACCCTGCTGTAATCTGCTGCTCAGGGTCAAGCGGCTGCAGAGTGAACACACACAAACACACACACCTCCTCCTGTGATAGGACTGCATACCTCAACCACAACCACATCAGCATTTGTACTCTCCATTTCGCAGAGAAAAAGCTGAGAAGACAATGTATTGATAAAGAAAAACGTACACAAACAGGGCGATGCCGGTGTTGGCCATGGCGTAGGCCAGACCCAGGATGCCGCTGCCCATGATGGCGTTTCCCAGGTTGAAGACTGACATGCCAAAGGAAGCATTGCCCTGGTGCTGTGGGGAAAATGTGAGGTTCAGGGAGTTAGGACAAAATGACATCAGAGAGTATACACGTGTGGAGAGACAGTGAGAGAGATGCTCTTACATATTCAGTCTCATACTTCTTCTTGCCCAGGTTGTGTTCAGGGAGGAAGTTTTGACTCTCTGCCTCCAGGTCAGAGAGAGGGCTTTGGAGGAGAAGAAAGAAAAAGGGAATTTAGAGAAAATACTGTACAGATGATTTCTAACATGTTTAGACATTAAAAGCATGCAGTCTCACCTGCCCAGAGGGACCTTCTTGGGGCAGTCGGGGTAGGGGTACTCGTTGCTGTTGGAGCTGCAGCTGTCTTCTTCAGGAGAGATGTTGAAACGGCTCATCTCCGTTTTGGCAGCGGTTTGTTTCATGCTGTCTATTTGAAAGCAGCAAAAGAGACATTGTTTTGAGTTGATATGATTAATTATTTCACAATTCTAGCTTTGCACGTTCACGCTCCCTTTCAATAATAAATATTGTAGTGGGCAGGCGCGCGACCGCAGCCCTCCTCATGAATCTGAGACCATGTGACTCTTGTTTGGAGAAAGGAGGGGTTGGAGGGGGGAGGGAGACCAGGGGGAGGGGGGGGAAAGGGGTGGTGACGCACCGACAGTGGAAAAATACCAGCCGGCATCCGAGTCCAAATTAGCCCACTGTAGTGCGGAGCGACAAAAACCCGCATTACGCGCACATTTGTCTACGAAATCATTTTTGAGTGTTTTAAGTGTATTGAAAACAGGGCGTGTCTTTGTTTTCTTACACAAGACATTTATTTTTAAGCAGACTTTTGTGACAATAAGGAAAAGCATGCTGATATTCTTCTTATAACAATTTGATATATACATAGGCCTATCTATATATATGTGTATAAACATGTGTATCTTGGCTGGATACTGCTTGCACGCAGACCCTCACAGAGAGCAGAAGGCGTCTCCCAGATCCACATAATGACATTATTTCCATGGCCGACTCCGATGGAAACAATGGCACGTGTTGTCCCTTTATGGGCATGGCTCTCCATTTTGCGCAGAGGCTCGCGCTCTGATAAAGTGTCGGCTTATAATAAGACTTTTTCTGATGAAACACAGAGGCAGCTTTACATGATTTCCTTTTCACTCAGCCTTTCTTTGTGTAATCACCTGTGTGGCAGTGACAACCAGCAGGCACTGCAGCATCACTGTCACTCTGCTTCATTATTTATTTATTTGGATAAGGGCTGACCTGGGGAAATGAGCCTCAGGCCTCTCAGAAAGGACAATTCTGGCTCTTTAGATAGAGATCCACACAGTTACAATGGCGAGAACCTTTCAATGTTGACTAATGAGCCCAGGAGAGGTGGCAACGCATCCACATTCCATTCAATGGAATTCAAAATACAAACCACAGACAGATATTAAGGTAATTATTATTATTATTTCGTGTCCCACATTAAAGCATCAAATTATACTTCAAACCCTGTGCCGCCTATATCCGGCAACTCCTGACACAGACAGACAATAAATGAAGAGATGCCGGCATTCTTACCTTGTAGAGATGTGGCAGGATGGTCGTAAAATCCTTTTCCAGTAAAAAAGAAACAAATGTCCGGACGATTTTTTTCTCTCACAAAACCAACTGATCGCTGAGTGTATTGATGTTGGATAAGAAGGTACAATAAATAACGAATGGTCCTATAACAAACAGGATCTTATCTTCAAAACACGACCTGATACAGATCAAGTAAGGTTACAATAAAAGACACTGTTAGAATAAACAGACTGACGCGTCAAATCTAAAGAATGTAGATTTAGGTCTAATTAAAATTCCAAGAGATGCGGTGGGATCGGAGATAAAAGCCTGTTCTGCTGGAGGAGGGGTGGGACTCACCCTTTTATAAAGATGAGCATTGCATCAGCCCAGACCCAGAAAGTAAGAAGGAGGGGGGAGAGTAGACGGGGGAGGAGGAGTCTTTTTTACGCACAGCAGTGACGTGCCTTTGTGTACAAACAGAGCAGTATGTATGACCCTGTGGAGACTGGGCAGCACGGACATTTGAACAATACAGGACAGCCTTAAACACTACAATAATACCAATATAAGGTTACATTTAGACTGATCATTAAATTAACCTTTAGGTTCAACTTTGTTAAATGAGTGTTGTCAAAAGCAGTTTTCTCAACAGTAATGACTACAAGCCTTAACCAATCACTTCAATGGGTTAAGAGTCAGACATGAGGAAGTGAGATATGATAGGCTTTCTAAATACTAAAAATGGAACAACAATGCCTAAGGACTGAACTCAAAGTGTCCTGACTATCTGTCGCTCCAGATCAGGCTGAGTGCAGCTTCAAAGCACGCACACGCACACGCACACGCACACACACACACACACACACACACACACACACACACACACACACACACACACACACACACACACACACACACACACACACACACACACACACACGTGATAGCGAGGGGCCATCCGGATCCTCTGCTGTGTGTGAGTCTCCAGTTTATTATTAATGTTGGGATGACTAAGGAGTGTACCGCCTGTCCACCGTCACTCTGCCCTTCGATTCTTCATAAATAAAACACTTCCTTCTGTTGCTCCTAATACTATAACCTATTCCCCAACACTGACACATCACTGCAACTCTTCTCACTGTCTGGTTAATATGTAAGAGAGGTGGTGGTCTGTGTCAAGAGGCCCTATGTCACATGTAGGATGGCTCATTTAACTGGAGATTGTACTTGCTATTAGCTATAGGTCTGTTTCCTCCTGTCTGTAGTTGAAAATGTGCATTTGTTTGAAATGTTTGTGTATCTTGTTGGAAAGTCTTGCCTTGAGATTAAAGATGTTCTTATTACAACCGGTTTAGAAATTAATAATACATCTAGTATCTGTACTTCTGCAGAGTGTCACAATCAGAGGTCAGAGTTTAGCTCGTGATCATGTATTTGCATCAGCTGGAGGTAAAAACGTCATGAAACAATAAAGGCATCATTCTGCTCTTCATATGTCAACACCTTGAACAGCTTGATAAGTTGACAGTTCAGATTACACATCACGATGATGAGGCACATTTTGTAATACAGTCTCACAAAGATGCACTATTGTCCTATCGTCTTACAGACATTTCATTTATACTGCAATGCAGCCATTGATTTTTTTTTTTAGTAAAGGGTAACCATTTGCCCTTTTGTTGTCAGGTTTCAGTTGTCATTTGACTGTTATCATTCAGCTATTGTGCAAACGGGTGTTCTTTAATGGGTCACAAGACTTTCACTGCACAGTAACTAGATAAAGATTTCAGTTCAGTAACTTAAACATGAACTAACCCTAACCCTAAAATAAAAGCTACATTAATATTCTCACATTCACATGAATCTGATTGCATTCACAGACTCTTACACACACACACACACACACACACACACACACACACACACACACACACACACACACACACACACACACACACACACATACATACATATTGTGCATTCTTCTGCCCTCAGTCACACATGAGTACGTCTTTGTTTGGGGCTTTAGCTCGACCCAGCAGATCTAAGACGGATCAGGAAACTGAAGTGGGTGCAGGGGGGGGGGATGTGGTTTGAGCACCGGTGTCCTGTGACCCCCCCCCCACACACACACACACACACACCTACACCTACGCACCTATTTCAGGGAGTGGTGCATGATCAGACAGGTGTGAGTGGGCGGGGTCAGAACGGACAACAAAGGCGCGTCCTAACCTGGAGAAAGTAAATGAAAGGTGAAAGAACCTGGCTAGCACCAAAACTACTCCTCCCGCTTCACTTCCACTCCTGGTAGCAACTCCATGACTAAAAGTCTACTTTGTATTGGCATGGCCCCAGATATTGATATTTTTTGCATTTGTTAAATCACAATTTGTTAGTCCACCTTTTTTTAAATCGATACACACTAAAACCAAAAGTAAGCACGAAATCTAAAATAAATTGCATCTCTTGTACAGCACACATTTTCTCAAGCATGCCTATAGCTATTAGCAACAGGTGTGTTTTAGTTGTTAAACTTGGTGCAAAGCAGCTGACGTGCTTATGCTTTGGCAGCTGCTCAATAGATAATGGGCTTCATGCGTTAGTGCTTTACAAGTTCCGGGTTTGTTTTCTAGTAATGGACCAAAAACTTGTAACACTCACAGCTTCTATTAGCTGCTACAGATAGTTCTCACTGTGTCATGTGGTGCCTCACAAGTAGATTGAGAGCCGATTGTGAGAAGTGTAGAAACAAGGCTCCCACTGTAACAAATGAGCTGCCTCTGTCTGCAGGCCCACAACAATGCTGCTCTCTAAACTGTGTGTGTGTGTGTGTGTGTGTGTGTGTGTTTGTGTACAGTTTGTAAAAGTCTGTGAATGCAATCAGATTCATGTGAATGTGAGAATATTAATGTAGCTTTTATTTTAGAAAGTTGAATCTGCTTGCAAACACCTTAGTGAAAAGTGAAGTGTATATATCTGGCCTTTTGCTCAGGGTGTTTTGTTTCATTTGTGACAAAAAACAACAACACCTTGTTTACACTTTCAAGAGAAACCACAGAGTATTCTTGAGAAGGGAGAATTTAGATTTGAATAAAGGCTTTACTTTTGCCTTTAGACATGGAAAGGATTTGCTGAAAATGCAAGTGTAGGTCCAGAGGCCCTTGCAGAAGAAGAATTGAACATCTCAAAAAACCTTCAAAGTTGTTAATAACAAAGCAACAGGTGATATGTAATGGCTGGTACTTCCTCCTTATTTGAGAACTGTGTGCAATAAGGAAATAAGTCGCTGTTTCACGAATTAGACACACTAGGAAATAAGTGCTTTGTTGGCGAGAATAAGAACATTTATACCCCAGTCAGAAGAGAATCACAAATCTCATCCAACTCTTTCCACTCTTTTCTTTAGAAAAAAGATGCAATGCTTATCAAGATTATTTTTCTCTTTTTTCTACATCCAGCTTTAGTAACTTATCGTCTGATAGCTGCATCTTCGCACTTAGCCTACAGACAGCAATCTTGCCTAAAAAACTAAAAGAAAACCCAATATATTTTCTTAATTATTCACTGTGTGGTGCCTGCTCATAACCTTTTACTTTAAGATTGTTGTTTGAATGAAGGCTTACGAGAAAAGCCAGTTATCTTATAACAACACCTCAGGCTGGCCTCACTTGGTTAGATGTGTTTCTGCTTTAGTCTGGGGTTTCCTGTCTCTGCACACACAGCTTCCTGTGCACATATTCATACCCTCCTACTATATCTCAAACTATTTACATGTTCAGGCAGTATGAACTGTAAAGTTGATATTTAAAGTAATAAAATAAAACAAGAATAGAGAAAAATTAAAAATAATATGTATATAATGATGTTTAATTGCCTTCATTCTTTGTAGGTATCTTATATTGATGCAGTTCTTGAAAAATGATTTAAACAAATAGATTGGAGTTCTCCCGTTTCTCCTTGTAAACAAAAAAAGAAAAACCCTAACCCTTTTTCCTCCTCATCAAGTTCAAAACATGAACATTTTAGAGCTACAATACTGCACTAATATTTGCTGCGTTGTCAGAAAAGTGACATGAATGATAATGTTTGTCAGTGTCTGCTGGATGTGAATATAGGCAAATCAATAAGCCATGACTTATCCATAACAAACATTTGACTCTTGTGGATGCTGTAAGAGTTTATATATATATATATATACACTGCACCCGTGTTTTGTGTGAGATTCACCACACTGTACAAGGACTTTATCACCCTGACCTCAAAGCTACAGTAATCACCTACTTGGCACAAGTCCAATTTCTCATGTAAATCCATTGCCAAATTTCCAAATGAATACCTCCCAGGTCATAGTATTTAACTGTGCCAGTCTCCCACCGAGCCCCCTGCCTGCGTCTGGACCAGATCGCTAACACTGGCTCTCCCCGCCTGCCCCTCTCCCCCCCAGCCTACACTTATTAACGTTTCATTTTCCCTGACTTTAGAGAGGGGATTTTCTGGCCTCAACCCTACTCACCCCGTCCCCCCTGTGAGTTTTCTCGGAACAGGTAACCTCTAAGGAGGATCTTTATTACAAAACAGACCAAGAGGAGATCTCGTGATCAGCCTTCTTTATTTGGAAAATACAGGTCAATGTTTTGTTTCTCCACTGACTCTAGGTGTGAACAAAAAATAAATCTGAATATCTGCAGGGGTCATATGTGTAAGGGGGCGAATAGGTTGTCTCCACTATGAAGGAAGAGCATGGTTAGCTGAGATGGAAACACTCGTGGTGTTTCATGACCCTAACCCGAACCCAGACACGTTACGTTTGTTTCTGTGGAGCCGAAAATTAGGAGCCTTTTTTGCTCCTTTTCAGTATATCACTTTAAAAAGATATGAAGAATTACATTTGAATTGGAGGAATGTTTTTCCGTCTTACATTCCTTGTTTTGTAGGTGTGTGCGTGCGGGAATCGGGTGCCCAAAAGCATCCGCCTTTTGGCGCTGGCGACACAAATTAGGCTGGTGGCCATCAGACTGAAAGGCAAACAAGTCGCCAAAGAGGAAGTGAGTTATCTTTTGGGCACACACACACACACACACACACACACACACACACACACACACACACACACACACACACACACACACACACACACACACACACAGAGGCATAGTTGATCCTGATCGGACATGAGGTCTGCGACAGGATCAGGGTCACTACGTAAACACGCCTTAGGTAAACACGACCTTCTAACACAGTGGGAAAACTAACGTGATCTAACAACCATCACTGCAGGAATCTCTGTCGGAGATTTGCCTTGAATATATCAATCGAGGTTTTCAGGACATATTCCCATGGCACTTT